AGTTTGGGGGACGGTCATCTTAAACGGGTTTTCTCACCAATACTCCTTCAAAGGCTTCTGCTTGTTGAAAGTGGGAAAGAAGAAGAAGGGAGAAAAAAAAACCTTAGGGCACACCCTTTTTTTTTTCTTTTTTTTTTAATTGAAATCTGGCTCGTCTTGCACTCGCCGTTTGGATCTGTCTGCTCTGTCTTAGAATAAACCCCTGGCTCCCGTGCGGCACAGCTGGACCCGGCTGTGAAGTTTGTGTGTTGGTTTCTTTTGAGAACGTGACTGGGTCGTTATGTTTTTTTTGCCTACAGAGGTTGGTATGTTTCCCCTGCAAGCCTGCATTCTGATTATTAAAAAAAAATGAGAAACAGCCGCAGGTTTTTTCCTTTTTGTTTTATATTTAGTTAAGAATCGCGTTTCCGACTTGCCCTTGGCTTCTCTTAAAAACCAAAAGCCGTCTGGTAATGAACACTGCAGTAAAACTTATCGCAGGAGGTCATTCTTGAACAGGAAATAAGCCTGTGGAGACTTAAATTAGTTATATGAGCTCTCCCTTGGTTTGTAACATTTTCATGCAGCTCGTGTTTCTTTTTCTGAGAATTATTTTTTCGGCATATTAAATGGATTAATTAATTGGCCTGTCAAAAAAAGAAAAAAACCAACCTCAGAAAAATAGCCTTGTCCAGCCTCATTCACTTGTGCTAGTCTTTTCTTCCTTGTCGTAGGCACCTTCTTACCCTGTCACTTCTTTAAGAGCCCTCAGTCGTTTTTTATTATAATACTTAGACTCCCCTTTCTAACACATTCCTACGAAAGGAACAAAGAGGGAATTAAAATGTCAGGTCCAATGTATTCTGACTCTTTCAGCTTGCTTACTTTTCAACCTCCCAGGATTTCTCGCTTGCTCATCTTTAAAATGAGGTTGTTGGACCTGAGGACCGTAAGATTATTCCAGCCCTAAAATCTCTGCTTTTTAAAAATTCATTTATTTTATTCATTCAGGAAACATTGGCCACATGTGTCATGCCAAACCCTGTGCTAGGCATGAAGGAACAAAAATGAGTTCTGGAGGCTGTTACTGACCTGCTCAGTTTCCTTTAATCATATTTTTATGACTAATTCCAAAATTTTGTTATAAACCCTTTAGGCCAGATTACTCTGTACTAATTAACTTCACCTGAAGTTAAATACGTACGGGTAAAACCCCATGAAAAAGATCAGTTTCACTCTAATCAGAGATTTTTCAGGTCTCAGCTACTGGCCCATTGAAATAAGACACAGGTTCTGTACAACGTAAAGAACTTGAATGGCATAGGGTGGTGCTTCTCAAACTTGAACATGCATAAATCACCCAGGATCTTGTAGGTTTGATTGTAGTTACTATCAGAGACCAACCACACTGAATGTCGGGGGTTGGAAGATGCTTAAAGATGTTCATGTTCATAATGACAGTACAAGGATAGGCGCTGATAGCTGTCATATTAGATGCACAGTAATGGTTTTTTCCAGTTCTCAAGTTAAAAAAAAAAAAAATCCTGTTCACTCTAACAAAAATAATTGCTTTTACAAGCTTTTTCTTCTCTCTCCTTCTCCTCTTTCTGTGCTGAATCCTCACAGTATTTCCTCCTCTCTTATCGTCTTCCACCCTCAGCTGTCTTCATTCACATTAATCCAGTAATTCACTGCTTCAGCATGTGTTTTGTCCTTTCCTGTACAAGGTACTGTCGTAGGCTCCTGGGGAATACAGACAGTAAGACATGGTTTTTGTCTGGGAACTTACTCTCTTTGAGATTAGGCATATGTACTTGTTTATAGTTCATCGCGCTGAGAGAGCCATCTGTGGGGAATAAAAACATGCGGTAGGAGTTCAGAGGGAGAGAGCTTTTACAGTTGTGGGGATGGGAAACAAATGAAGTCATCTTTTTTCCACTCACTGGTCATCTCTGTCTTCCCAGGCTATACTCTGTATAGTGTTTGAGTGTATATGCCGTATCTACAATAGAATACAGTTTTGTAAATTTATTTACTTGGAACCTGAGGTGAGCTGGATATATGAAAATCTATTAGATATGAGCAGTATCATAGGGAGGGTGAGAGGTGGTGGGGATAAAAAATATACCTAGATAGAGACCAACAGAGGGAGAGAGGGGAAAGATGAAGAGGAAGGAAGACAGAGGAGGACCCAGTAAAACAGGAGGAAAGGGCTCAGTAAGTTTTCAGGTGTCAGTCTAATGTACGCTGCTCTTGTTATTTAGGCTGCATTATCAACTTTCAAAGATCAAATTAGCTGGCAGACTTTTTTCATGCTTTCAGTCCCCCTTAACTTAAAAATTATGGACTTTCTCTTAAGTAAAATAATTGAGGATGGCATTATTCTCTAGGCTGTTAGAGTGGCTAGAGCACTATTGTCTTTAGGTCATCTCCCTTTCTAACTGACATTTGATTTACATGCCTTATTCTCATTCAGTTTTATCTCAAGCCTCTAAAATCACAACTATAAAATCGTATTGAGAGGAAAATGGTATAGAAAAACAGAAAATTCTACTCTACTGGACCTGTGACAGTCTATTGGGTACACATATTGAAATCCTGAAGAATCAGTATCTGTCTACCCATATGTGTCTGTAATCCATTAGGTTATTTATAATAATGAAGGTATAGAGGTGAATAATTCAAAGTGGCAAAAAATTGAAAATGTATGTGTAGTAATGTAGATTTCATTTGAAACAAAATCATTAACCTATGCCTTGAAGCAGAGTCCTACTTTGTATGTTTTATGAGGTATAATTAACATTCAGTAAAAATGCACATACAGTATCTTGAGTGTGTAATTCAAGGAGTTCTCATAATTTCATACAATGTAACTTCTACCCAAACAAGCTAGAAAACATTTTATCACCATGGAAATTTCCCTCATGTCCCTTTCCAGCCATTTCCCTCACCTACCTCCTCTAAAGGCAACCACTTTGACTCCGTATTTCTGACACCATAGATTTGTTTTGCCTAGTCATAGACTTCACATAAATGGAATCATACAGTAGTATGTGCTTTTTTGTGTCTGACTTCTTTCATGTAACAATGTTTTTGAGATTTATCTGTGTTATGTATCAGTGGTTAGTTTGTTTTTTATCACCGAATAATATTCTGTGGTATGAATATACTCTGGTTTGTTTATCTGTTTTCCTTGTGAGAGATATTTGCCTTATTTTTAAGTTGAGCTATTATGAATAAGGTTGTTATAAACATTCTCTTACAAGTCTCTTATGCATATATATTTTCATTTCTCTTAATAAATACCTAAAGTGGAACTACTGAGTCATAGGGTAGATGTATTATTAAAAAACTGCCAAAGTGGTTTATATATGAGTTCCAGTTGCTCCACATTTTTTTTTTTTTAATTCTCACCCGAGGATATGTTTCCATTGATTTCAGAGAGAGAAGAGAGAGAGAGAGAAACATCGATGTGAGAGAGAAACATTGATCCGTTGCCAACTGTACCTGCCTGACCAGGGATCAAACCCACAACCTAGGTATGTGCCCTGACTGGGAATTGAACCTGCAACCTTTTGGTGTATGGGACAGTGCTCCAATCAGTTGAGTCACCCAGCCATGGCTCTTTTTGGCTCCACATTTTTAATGTCACCAATTTTTAGTGTTGTCAGCCTTTTTTTATTTTAGCCACACTAGAAGATATAAAATAGTACCTCATTATGGTTTTAATTTGCCTATTCTGGACATTTCATATAAATGAAATCATACAATATATAGTCTTTTGTGACTGTCTTCTTTTGCCCTTATACACTTAACAGTTCATTTTGAGGATCACTGAAATACAGGCAAAGTTCCTTCACAGATGTGTGCACTTTTTTATCTGTAAAGATATACACTCCCTCCGGTACATACACTCAAACACCTACACACACTCACTAAAGAGGGAACACAAACACAGCAAGACAAACTTACAAACTAAGGTAACTGATGCAGAGATAACCCTTTACAAGTAAACAGTTTCATATCTGGGTATATCTAAGCACTGATATCACTACAAGTACATACAAGTGAACACAATCCCTGAAGTGTGTGGGAGAAAATGAGGGCTAGGTGGACAAGAGTAATTGAGAGTATGATGGCAAGTGAAATTTACTTAAAGTATATTCTGGTGTTTAAGGCAATTCCTAGAGCTTTTAGTTAAGTTTTTTAATGAAGTAGTAGTTGTCTAGTAGGTATATATTTAATATATATAGAGACTTGTAGGTAGTTCCTTAGCCTATTGCATAGAGCAAACCCTTTGAGCAGGATATTATTAATCATAATTATAGAGTAAGGGATTTGCATATGGAAATTATAACCAACAAAATATTTTGGTTCCCTGGGTGTGGGGTTATCAGTTTAATGAGGAATTGTGAAAGAATATTTACTCGATATATTCATATCAGTGAAAAGGAAGGAGGCCCTTTAAATGTTTACATTATAAATCTGACATCTATTCAGTTGCTTGGAGTAAACATGGCAAGATTTGATACAACACCAAGATTTATTTTTGTTCGTGGTGGATTCAAGTTGGTATTATTAAATAACTGCTCTTTTTTTCTTTTTTCTCGCTTTAATATGACCACTGGGGTGCTATGGCAAGAGGATGGGAGGTGGGATGGGGGTG